CAAAACAAACACGGTGATGCAATTATCCATAGTTGTATGCCACTTCTTTATTCTGCATTCAATCAAGGAGTGTATATACTCTTTAATCTTAATGCCTAGGTTCTTGGTAATGAGCAGAAAACAGTTATGAATGAGAAGAAAAAGAAAATTTTTGCAGGATGTATACGTACATCATGTGTAAGCCACAGGAGATGAGAGTTTGTGATTACAGACCTACACTTTGGTTGTTCATGTGGACAAGGTGTTACTAGTTGGCTTCCTGGTGCACTCCACTGTTTTTGCATTTGGATATTTAGTGACAGGCTACCGATTCTATTTTCAGTTCCCCAGAGCTTGAGAATTTGAGTGCTGACAGCAGGGTGCATTTGGCACTTTTATTGGAGCCATATGGAGCCATTTGCTCTGCCTACCCTGACTGTGATGCCCATTATTATATACTTACAATGTAAAATTCTTTATTATACATACAAGTGAGTATGAGGAAAAGTATATGTTTTTTATTGAAGATAAAGGAGTCTGTTTGAACTTTTTTAGTGATTTTTTGCTGTAGGATATCCACCAGGAAAAGATCACCAAATGAATCTGAAAGTTTTTAGAAGAGTCAAGGAATTATTATTTACAGTCAGAGTTGCTGTACATGCGTAAAAGAGAGTAACTAATAGCCATGGAACTGGCAGATTTAGGACAACATGCTCTGCTGTGGGATGTCTCGCTGAGAGACAAGAGTTACACTAATATCAAAGAAATGGTGGAATAGAATCATTAAAGAAAGGATGCAAAGGGAGGGACAGACAGAATGAAATGTGAATGACAAAAATTAAAACAATTTTTATTGAATTAAATTGAACTAATAAATTGTCCAGTGGTGAGTTTTACTGTGGCAAGTTGACTGTGATGAGTTGTCCTGCAGCGAGTTGGCCATGTTGAGTTGGCCATGGTGGGTTGGACACTGTATCTTCACCACAGCGAATTGTCCCATTCCCTTTATTGAGCTACTGTATGTATGTATGCAGTGTACAATGTAATGACACTTACGTTGATAAAAACCTTTTCATCACTCTTTGTATCATATTTTCACTCAATGCTATAAAATATCTCTGATTTTTCAGATAGACACTTTCTGGTGCTCCCAAGGAATTGTGTAACTTTTCTTTCTTCTATATCTCTTTTGTTTCTGGTAACAGGTAAGACAGAACATAGGAAGGCTCCAAGGAGATAGTTTCACTGGGGGTGGGGTTGGTCAGGAAAGCCAAAGTGTCCATTATATTTCTGTGATTGAAGCCCCACCCCATTTTACATGTATCAACATGATCCAGATTCCTTCTAAAATTCAGTCAATGAATCCATCTCCCAGCTAATGTTCAGATGATATATTAGAGAATAGTTTTGGAATACAAATTTTCTGCTTCTTTCTTGTTTAAATCCTTAGCCTTTCAATGCATAATTCACCAGGATGTTTAACCTGGCTCTACTATGAGCCAAGGTGGCGCAGTGGTTAAATGCAGCACTGCAGGCTACTTCAGCTGACTGTAGTTCTACAGTTCGGCTGTTCAAATCTCACCGGCTCAGGGTTGACTCAGCCTTGCATCCTTCCGAGGTGGGTAAAATGAGGACCCGGATTGTTGTTGGGGGCAATATGCTGACTCTGTAAACCGCTTAGAGAGGGCTGAAAGCCCTATGAAGCGGTATATAAGTCTAACTGCTATTGCTATTGCTATTATGTTACTTTGTGTGTATGTACATAAGTATATTTGTGAAAAAGAGATGGAAGAGGATTTTACATTCCTTCCCTGAGATCAGGTAGTTTCATCTTCCATCAAATATATTGGAAGAGCAAGGATTGATATGTAGCACCTACCAGAAATCATGTTACTCATAATTCCTTCAGATAGCATCCACAAGATTCCCCAAAAGTGTGAATATGTATATTTCAGAGCAATTTTGCCATAATATTTCAAGAAAAGATCCTATATGATTTGATAGTGTTCATGTATTGCAATATTTTGTTTAGTGATAACAACACTATAGATGAGAAAGCACTGAATTTTTAACAGGCTGTTTGACCATTCTACAAATAGAAGTGGCTAAAATGACTCACTTTGCACTTTTCAAATTTGAATCATTTTATGCATCCCTAACTCAAAGCAATATGCAAAATTAAGTGACAGTGCCTGACATCTAAAAAGGTTAGTTCTTAAGTGGTTCCTGCCTACGATGCTTCTTATATGAGGAGGAAAAGAGGGAAGAATTTCTAGCTGCTGAAAAGTTTATTTCAGTTAGCAGATCCCAACTTGAATCTTAATTAAATCTCATATTGCCTAGCTCATGGGAACACTTATGGCTTTAGACAGAAGCAAAAGACAGAAAGAGGAGTGCACATTTGTGGGAAGAGGCATGTAGCAGGAATAGCTCTGCTTCTAAGTAGCATGTGGGCTTGAAGTGCCAGGCCTTGTAATTAGGTCTGATAGGCACCAACTGTGCTTGGCAGAATCTGAGAGAGTGTGTATTTAAGGCTTTACTCAAGCACTGTTAAGTGTTGAAATAGTTTTCTGTTACAGCTCAGACTGTGTTGATTGACTTCTGGGTTCTTGGGTTCTGTTTTTACATAACTACATTTCTCCCTTGTCTAGTGAACCTTGGTATCCAAGTTGTTACCTGTATACCTGGTTTTTCTTTGTGTGTGTGTTCTTCACTCTGACAATGAGTCTGCTTTTCTTCTGAATCCGGTTTGCTGTTAGAAATTCTGTGTTTTGAAGTAGACTTGCAGTGCAAGTTTACATGACTTAAACAATTTATAACTTGCTGAAAGATTGTAAAACAAGGCAATTGTTTGAATCTTACCCCAATCTAAAGATATGAAAAGGGACTACCTGTTATGTGAAATGTTAGGGACGTGGGCCTAAGAAAAATCAAGAGTGACCCAGAGAGTTTACTTCTATTTAGCAGCATGGAAGGATCCTGTTTCATACAAAGTTGTCTCATGACTGAAGTTGCTTCTTCAATGATTGCTTTTAATGGGAACTTGAGTGTGCCAATCAAACTGCAGTGAGACTTGAATCCATTATTATAGTTAGTCACAAATGGGCTGCTGGGGGTTTGGAGGGGTTCGACAGCTAAGATTCTGTTCAGTTCAGAGAACCCCCAATCCCACTCATGGCTGGCCTCGCCCACCCTAGGACTCCCATGTGGCCTGTTTTGGATGCAGGTAGGTGCAGGGCACACATGGAGGCTCAGGTAGTGCAAAAAACAGGGCTACTGGAAGTTTGGGAAGACCATAGACAGGCCTTCCCAAACTTCCCAGAGGGCCTACGGAGCTTGGGGATGCTGTTTTTGTCGCCCTGGAGGCTTCATAAAAACCTCCAGATCCCAGGGAAGGCAAAAATCCCCCCCGCTATGGTGCAGGAGGCTGACTAGGCCATATCCACCATGGCCATGGCCAT